TGGGTTGCGTACGTATGTGTGGGGCAGAGCTATCAAAATTGGGGCGAGACCCTTTTGGGGTAGGGGCGTGTCTACCACCTTTGAAAAAAGTTAACTGAAGCTTGCAGGATGTAAAAGCTTCACCTGAGCATGTCATTATCAATAAAGTATCAACGGAATCAGCACAGAAACACAGTATCTCATGGCCCAGGAAAAAAAAAAACTGCAATGAAGCTGTAACCAAAGACCTCTCGTGCTACAGTTCAATGTGACAAATACAACAGGAAGTGATTCACAAATGAACTGCAGCAGTTTAGTGGCCTCTCCTGGATCACACTGAAGAAAAGAGAAAAAGAACATCAAGACGGTCAAAATTAGTCTACCACCAAAAAGTTAACTGAAGCTTGCAGGATGTAAAAGCTTCACCTGAGCATGTCATAATCAATAAAGTATCAACGGAATCAGCACAGAAACACAGTATCTCATGGCCCAGGAAAAAAAAAAAAACTGCAATGAAGCTGTAACCAAAGACCTCTCGTGCTACAGTTCAATGTGACAAATACAACAGGATGTGATTCACAAATGAGGGGGTGACTGCTCGCACGCCACAGATGCAGTCACACTAAAATGGTGCCCTTGGTAACGATCAGCAGAAACACTTAATTAGGAGAGACATGCATGCTTTTATTTTTGTTAAAGTGAAGTGACATGTGGCCAAGTATGGTTACCCGTACTAGGAAATAGTGCTCTGAATTTAACACATCCTAAGTGCACACACACAGCAGTGAACACACACACACCGTGAACACACACCCGGAGCAGTGGGCTTTTGGTGATTTCAAATGTCAACATTGGCTACCAGAAATCGCTTACCCCACCTTTAAAGAACTAGGACTGTTTCAGTTCACAAGTTTTAGAATTTGAATTGATTTGGCTATGCCTCACAGGAAACTACTGTATCTATTCTCTATCTATTCTGTGAAAATAAAGTGCACTTAACTGTATTGAATGTGCACTTGTAGTGAACTTCAACTCTTAAAAGTATAATTAACTGTACTTGCAGATAATATAATATTAATTAAATAAAAGGCCACTGACATGTACTTGAGAGTTTATTATTACTATGTTTCTTAACTCACTTAAGTTTGCATTGATGGTAGGCATGTACTTCCATATTAATATATATTTTTTCATACTATGGTCTGTAGAAAGTCAATGTCTACAGTCAACTGTTTGGTTACCAACATTCTCCAAAATATCTTCTTTTGTGTCCAACAGAAGAAAGAAACCCTTTGGAACAAGTGGCAGGTCAGCGAATGATGACAGAATCTTCATTTTTGGGTGAACTATCCCTTTATAGTACATTTTAAATTGTTATGCTATAATAATCTTTGTTGTACTTTAAAGAAGTACACTTATTTTGATGTAAAGTACTGTATAACATGTAAAGTACTGTAATTTAAACTGTGGAGTGTTATTCGATATTATAGTTAATATACGGATGGGCTAAAACTTCAGACTTAAAGGTGGGGTAAGCAATTTTTCAAAAACGCTTTAAACTGATTGGGGCCGACTAGCAAAACAAACTTGTAGCCAATCAGCAGTAAGGGGCGTGTCTACTCACGATGTGGAGGAGAGAGCGTTCAGTGCACAGGATGGACATTAGCGAGCCGAGCGACAGAAAGATAGAGATGGCGGATAAAAAAAACATAAGAGGAAAACGTCTGTGGGACAAAAGAAGGCTTAAGGCAAGAAGTAGGACCCGTGTAAATATCGGATCAGCTTTCCAGCGCTAGAGAGAACTCAAGGAGCAGAAGGCCTGCGATTGGACACCGAGGTTGCTTTGTTTCTTCTCGATAGGCGAGTAACACCGTGTCGACAAAGCGACCGTTGAAAATCATTTGAAATTTGTGTCAATACGTCATGAATAGAACGCAGCAGCAGTTTTCTGTCAGGGATTTGTCATGTCGTGCCGCGCCGCATCCAGTGTAGACCATAGATATGTATATATATATCTATGGTGTAGACAGCATCACTCATTAAAAGAAGGTTCTATAGTATTTTGTTGCGCCGCACCACTCGCGTCCGGTGTAGACACGGTGTAACATTGGTTTTGCTTTGTTTCACAGAAGTAATCGTTGCCTGGGTTGCGTACATATGTGTGGGGCGGAGCTATCAAAATAGGGGCGAGACCCTTTTGGGGTAGGGGCATGTTTGTTTTGGTGATTTCAAATGTCAACATTGGCTACCAGAAATCGCTTACCCCACCTTTAAAGAACTAGGACTGTTTCAGTTCACAAGTTTTAGAATTTGAATTGATTTGGCTATGCCTCACAGGAAACTACTGTATCTATTCTCTATCTATTCTGTGAAAATAAAGTGCACTTAACTGTATTGAATGTGCACTTGTAGTGAACTTCAACTCTTAAAAGTATAATTAACTGTACTTGCAGATAATATAATATTAATTAAATAAAAGGCCACTGACATGTACTTGAGAGTTTATTATTACTATGTTTCTTAACTCACTTAAGTTTGCATTGATGGTAGGCATGTACTTCCATATTAATATATATTTTTTCATACTATGGTCTGTAGAAAGTCAATGTCTACAGTCAACTGTTTGGTTACCAACATTCTCCAAAATATCTTCTTTTGTGTCCAACAGAAGAAAGAAACCCTTTGGAACAAGTGGCAGGTCAGCGAATGATGACAGAATCTTCATTTTTGGGTGAACTATCCCTTTATAGTACATTTTAAATTGTTATGCTATAATAATCTTTGTTGTACTTTAAAGAAGTACACTTATTTTGATGTAAAGTACTGTATAACATGTAAAGTACTGTAATTTAAACTGTGGAGTGTTATTCGATATTATAGTTAATATATTTTAAATGTACTAAACTGCAACGTCATCACTACAAATGTGCAATTACAAATATATTTATATATGACATACAAGTTCCAATGGAAATTACATTTATATATATTTTAATTTATTATAAATGCTTGTTAGTACATTCTGCAATAAACTTTAACTATTTAAAATATAACAGAATTAAGAAATTACATATAAAGTACTTAAGCGTACTTAAATGTACTTAAGTCCAACTTAAGTGGGTCAAAAGAAGTTACACTAATTGTATCTAATATGAATTAAAACTATACTTTTTTATTTAATTGCAATTACCCTGGAATTTAATGCCTGAAAACATTACATTCAGTTATATATGTACTTCATGACATTCTAATTTATTGAGATGCACCTGTATTATTAAATATATTTCTTTGTAAAGTATATTATTTGCATATTAAGTACTCCGCTAAAGTGTATCGAAATTTTTTATACAATCAAACAAGGCATTGTCAAGCCATTTCAAATTGACAGACTTTGCTATTCTAGATAAAAACTACAGTTGATAATTACATATGAAATTCCAATTCATTTTAATTCTACTTCCATAGATTTAAATTCGAATTGCAATTCTGCATCCTGTTTTTTTTTTTTCAGTTCAAATTTAATGTGGCCTGATTCCATTCCTTATTTCCCACAAATAATTTCCACTACTTATACTTATCTGATAAAGTCTTTTG